ACTTAGGCAATATTTCTCTAACTAATCGAGCTTACTAGTAATTACTAGTAAGAAAGTTGTCGATTTTGGTCAAATTAGATCTCAAGAAAGATCCATAAAAACCACAGACTTAGGCAATATTTCTCTAACTAATCGAGCTTACTAGTAGTTACTAGTAAGAAAGTTGTCGATTTTGGTCAGATTATATCTCAAGAAAGAGCTAAAGTTTAGTCTATTTCTCTGACTGATTGAGCTTACTGGTAGCTACTGGTAATTAGTAATTATTAGTATACAGTAATCTTTAAAAACATATCTTTAAATAATAGATTTGGTGAAGTTTTGATCTTTCTAATTACTTTAATTTATTACTAGTAATAACTATTTATTACTAGTTGTTTAGAATAGATTCATAGGAGTTTCATTTTTTTGAAAGATTTCTTAATTTTCCCTAAGTCAATCTGCTCCGAACTATCCTTTTTTTTAAACATTTTCCTTTTTTCTCATCATTACTGATTCTTCATTTCGGGGTTCTTCTAGTAATTACCAGTAATCAGTGATCATTCAAAAATTAACCAAGAAAGTAAATTAGAAATCATACATACCATCAATTTAGTCATGAACGTGACACAGGGACGGGTTTAGCAGAGCACCATTTTCGAAATTGGCTGTAAGCACTAGTAATAATTAGTAAATAGTTGTAATAACTCTTAGCTCAGAAAGATAGATACTTACGGGCATCGTCCAAGTTTAAAAGAAAACTGGCATTCATTGACATTTGGATCCTTCTTAATACATGCAGTATAAGGGCTACTAGTAGTTAGTAGTAATTTATAGTAAGAAGTTATAATATACTTACTTCACTGGCAGTTTACCCTTTTTATTCCTCTTCCCGTGGATTGTAATCCATGCTTTCGATGACTCAATTTCAGTTGCATCATCTCCGAAATCATCCAGATTAGAGGGAGGATCCGAGAGCTCTCCATCGCTGTCACTAGTCATTACTAGTAGCTCCTGGTCATTTGGGGTAGGTTCTTCGATTGGGTCTTCGATTGGGTCTTCGATTAGGTCTTCGATTGTGTCTTCGATTGGGTCTTCGATTGTGTCTTCGATTGCGTCTTCGATTGCGTCTTCGATTGCATCTTCTTCGATTGCGTCTTCTTCGATTGTGTCTTTAATCTCCACAGGGACTTGCTTTCGAGGACTCTTTGTGGGGATTCCTCTTGTAGTTCGTGAGTGGGATTTACCAGTAGCTACTGGTAGCTGCTGGTCATTACCCAGAGAAGATCGCTTCGGAGATTCCAGAATTTCCGTGCTCAAAGTCCGCTTTCTTTTAGCAATCCCACGGGTAGACTTGTCACCAGGCTTAGGCAATGGCACATCATCTTCAGTCGAACTATCGATAGGCTGACTGGATGTAACCACACGTTGCTGGTCATTACCAGTAGGCCTTTTAACAGATTTGGCCTTTGCACTGGGTTTGGTGGATTTGGTCTTTGCACTGGGTTTGGTGGATTTGGCCTTTTCACTGGGTTTGACGGTTTGCTGCCGGTTATTACCAGTAGCATTATCCATAGCTTCGTCGTCATCAGAATTAGAATCTTCGAATTTGTATGGACCGCTAGTAAAGATTTATTAGTAGTAATTACTAGTAGATATTAGTAGTACTCACAGGATATTCTTATCTTTAATCGTTTAGTCATCAACAACCTAAAGACCATAAAAGTCTTCCTTTTTCTAGTAAACATTAGTAAAAGTTGGTAGTATCTATAAGATAGTAATCTTACTATGTGTGATGATATGATGTACTTTCTGAGAATCCCTCCACAAGCTTTCACTGATTGTCCTTTGTCTTCTTGTTTGCCCCTAGGAACAACTATTAGTTTCCAGTAATTACTGGTAATAGATATTTAAACACTCACGGAGCATAAGAACAATAGAGACAACGACCAGCACAACGAGGAATAGCCTATCAGACATAATTAGTAATTACTAGTAATAAATAATGATCAAGAAAATAACTTACTACCATTCCTGTATCATAGAACTGTTTGTATCGGAGGTCGTCTTTGTGCTCTTCGCAATCGCAAACTGGTTTAATCCTATATTGTGTTAGTAATCACTAGTAATTATTAGTAGAGAGTACTCATGTGTAGCTTTTGCTTGTTGGTTTACCCGAGATTTCCTTAAGCCACTCCAACGTAGCTGTGTCAGTTGGCATCAAAGTTTTAAACTTCTTGCGCCATTTTAAAAAGCACTCCTTCTGGTCTTTCTCGCTGAGAGTCATTGTAGATAGGCAGGCACTGGTAGGAGCCGGTAGATACTATAGTCACTAGTAGGAGCCGGCAGGTACTGGTGAGAGCCGGGAGGCACTGTAGTTACCGAGATCTGTTGGGGGCCACTGGTAGGAACCGGTAGTCGTTGGTAGAAGGTTTAGTAAACTAGACTCAAAAAGAAAAGGTAGTTAGTTGATTAATATCTTAAGAAAGATGATCCAGAAAATTGAAGTAGTTTGATTGAATAAACACCAGTATTCACTTGCAGCTCAGATCGAAAGTAAGCAAAGAAGTCTATTCTATCATCTCCAAGAAGTAAACACCAGCAGTCACTTACAGCTTAGATCCAGAGTAAGAAAAGAAGCCCACCTGCCTAGGTGGGCATTCTGTCATCTCTAAGAAGTAAACACCAGTAGTCACTGGTCAATATAGTCAGAAATCAGGAAAGTTCATATACCAGAGATTTATTAAGAGCTTTGGAGAGAGAGAGAGAGAAAGAAGAGAAAGAAGAAAGAAGAGGAAAGAGATGATATTTATAGAAAGGAAGCAATTTGCAAAAAGAATTCGTAAAAGATTCGTAAAAAGAATTCGTAAAAAGGATTTGCAGAAAGAATTCATTAATAATTCTTTTAATCTTCTACCTTCTGCTTTCTACCTTCTACCTTTCATATCTTACAACTACCCTTCATCATACATCTATCTCTTTCTCATCACTTTCATCCCGAGATCTTCACCAAATGGATACTAATGATAGCTCTCTATCACCGGGAGCTACTGGATTAAGACAAGCGTCTCCAGTTCCCTGGGAGCAGAATCTATCTTTTACTCAAGATAATCAGTTGGATTTGATATCTGAGCAAAACCCTGACTTACCCAGATCTTCTAGTCCATCTCTTAAAGAATCCCTACCAACTACCATCGATGGATCCGACCAGTTCTCAATCATTACCTGTTATCCCTCCCCCGGACAAGAACTCTTTCCCCGCCACCGCAATTCATCATTGACGACAAAGAACACAATACGTTATATATTATTTGTTGATGAGCTTCCTAAATATCCCAGGACAGACCCTGAGAGGTTTGCATATGTGATTAATTGTTCCGAGAGATCACCGAAGATAACTAGGAATTACCAGAATCCTACAATGCAGTATGGGAAGAACACCCGGACAAATGATAAATCCAGATATCATACTCGACGCCCATGTACACTGTTGGGTGGTGTTCAATGTCAGTTACAGAGTTCAGTGTGTTCTGGTGTTCGTCACTGCCAACAGCTATCACCAACAATTCGTGACAATTACCACCATCTCCATGTGACAGGGGAACTTCTACAGCAGATTTCTATCCAACGTGCAGCAATCACCGGTTCCCACCAAGAGCACCTCAATCAAGAACGAGCCCAAGTGACAACCTAGCGATATTTCGAGGATCAAAAACAACAGTATCAGAATCAATGCGGACGACAATGTCCCGGAAAACAGATGATCATTAAGCAGCCGTATAGTCAGAATTGGGTAAGTCTAATCATTAACTGGGGATAATGAGTAATTACTAATGATTATCAGAATAGAGCATTTATCCTCGGTTATTCGGGATGGTCCCCCCGACACCATAACAAACAACATTTCTTCCGCAAAATCCCCACCAACACGAATATTGATATTGAGCTACTGACAACTCTTGTCAATGGAGATGGGCAATTGCCAACGCTTGCCAGCAGCGAATGCGCTTTCTTTACATCATCCGGAGGTCGGACTAAACAATGTCGTAAGTATTAACATTTTCTAGTAATTACTAGGAACTAACAGTTATTACAGCTACACACAAATCACAGGGGGATCTCATTTGGATCAACTGCGACGTACGGTTTACTACTATGGTCCCATTGGATCTGGTAGAAACCCCCTATATGGTTTTTACGTCATGGGGCCAACACACTCATCCTCCACCACTACTTACCAAAACCCCGGTTGATATTCGAAATCAGGTTCAAGCAATGATCAAACGTTGCCAAAGACCTGATATTACAACCAGTGAGTTATATTCATTATTAGTAATTACTAGTAATTACTAATATTATTTTAGTGCAATTTCTACAGTCTCAGATTGTGAGAGATTTCTTAAATGAAAGAGATCTATCATCACTTGTCGAATTGCATCCCTCACTTCAGAATCACGATCTAATCAAGTCATAGATTGTGAAAGAAAGAATCATGGTAAATAAATTTGACGTCGGTCTTCGTGGTATGTTGAATTAATAACTCCACTGATTACTAGTAGTTACTAATAATAACTATTAGGAGCACTTTTTGAATTTTTGATCCATCACCAGAACAAGCCAGAAGGTTATATCCAAGAGTTTTATCAGGATAGAAAGAACCTTCGAATTGTTTGTATGACTATCCAACAGGCAGAGTACCTCGCAAAAGCGAAGTTCTTTGCCTGTGATATGACCTTTAAACGGGTCACAGGATCTATTCGTGAGATTATTCTGACCACAGAATGTCCCCACATCGGAAAGAGTAATTATTATTACTTATCACTGGTTACTACTGGTTACTAATATATTTTTAGATGCAATCCTTTGCCGAGTCTTCGTCAATTCTGATTCTGCAGAATGTTATTACCAAACATTCACATCAATTTTTCGGATTGCGTCACGTTTAGCAAAACAGCCAATCCATTGGAAGTACATTCACAACACTGGCATTGAGGCTGTGTTAGTGGATATGTGCAATAAACAAGCAGCAGGTATGTTTATCGGTGTTTACTAGTAGTTACTAGTAGTTACTAAAAGTTATATTTAGGTCTAGGCCGATTTCTATGTGATACTGATACCACTCACCAATTTGGTGACTGGCGACACCAGTTATTACATGTGATTATCATTTGCAAAGTTTATTTCCAACGATCTATCAAGAAATTTGATACTTGGCCTGAGTACGGATTACTAGTGGATTTGCCAAAACTCTCCACCAATGAAGCCTATCAACTGCTAGCAACTTGCAGTAGCAGTCCAAAACCGGGACTTGCACCATGGGCGCGGCACAAAAGATCCAAATGGATTCTTGGCGGGTTGAATATGAATTTATCGAATATGCCAAAAACACGATACAGACAATATCCCCAGACGACGAACAGTTGTGAAGCTCTGCATGCGAGTATACATCGCGTTACAGGCATCAATTTATCACTCCGTGAGGGTATTATGAGGTAAAGATATCTACTAGTGTTTACTAGTGTTTACTAGTGTTTACTAGTGTTAACAATTTTAGTGCCGAATCGTTCGATAGACAATTGTTCTCTGATCTACAAGCATACCTTACCTCAGGTATACGGCCGACATCTCGATATTCAACATCAACCCCCAAGCGACAAGCCCAATATAGAGCTTCAGGTAATTTCTTCCAAAGTTATTACTAGGGATTACTAATAGTTACTAGATGAGAATGAGAATGAGGATGAGGATGAGGATGAGAATGAGATGGAGATAGAGATGGAGATGGACAATATACTTCTTCCCCCACGTCGTCGAAAGAGGTTGCGTCAAACAAGATCTCCCCAAATAGGTAATCAATTAGCATTGCCAGTGATTACTAGTAACTAATATTTCTAGAAACTACACCTGTGCCCAAACGTGGACCAGGTCGCCCACCCAAGACACCACAACCACGTTCGAATACTGGATCTCTCCAAACAGGTAATCAATCATTATTTCTGGTGATTACTAGTGACTAATATTTCTAGAAACTACACTTGTGTCCACACGCAGACCAGCTCACCCACCCAAGACACCACAACCACGTTCGAATACTGGATCTCTCCAAACAGGTAATCAATCATTATTGCTGGTGATTATTAGTGACTAATATTTCTAGAAACTACACTTGTGTCCACACGCAGACCAGCTCACCCACCCAAAACCAAAACCTCTCTAAAACCGCAATATTCTCAACAATCTGAAGATTTATCTGATGGTAAATTTATCTTATACACTATATATGATTTCTTTATTACTAACTATTATTAGACTCTACTGGAGATTCCCAATCTCTATCAATCCCATCGGATAGACCATATCTACGAACCCGCAGAAGATCTTTCCAAACACCACCAAGAGGTATGTATATCTATGGATATTATAACTATTACTTATTGCTAATAATTACCAGTCACTTCTACTTCTAGTCGATATGACTCTGAAACATCAAATACTCTCCAGGCAGATACTTCATTCTCGGTTCCTGATTTATCACCAATCATCCCTACATTAGTCCCATCAGATGAGTATACTACGCTGTTACTAATAGCTACTAGTAGTTACTGATAACTTCTAGTTGTTATTACAACCCCACTACCCCGACATCATACACGAACTATCATCGACCTCACTGATTCACCTGAACCTTCATCCTCTACAATCATTCCCCCTCAGCAAGAGAGATGGTGGGATAAGATGAGCATTCCTGGTAAGATATTTCTATTATAGAAAATCTATCTGGATATTACTAGTTGTTACTAATAGTTACTAGATGACGATAGCTTCGATCTAGACTACCAAGAATCTCTTGAGGATACTGAGTTTACAACTGAAGCTCAGCGGTTGAAGGAACAATACGAAAAGGAGTGCATTGAACGAAAGGAAACATTCGATCGCCAAATGGCAGCTCTTGAAGGAAATAGAGATCATCGTCGTGGATGATTTCTATAGTTGTTAACACTTTTGTTGAATTAATGTTAGTTGAATCGAATGTCTATTATGAATAACTTATTATTACTAGTAGTTACTAGTATTTACTGTTAGTATTAGATATTAATTTATCTTCTAATTATCTATGATATAAGTTTAAAGAGTTTTAGAATTCTTGAGAATCTCTCAGTCTAGTTATAGAATATATATATCTCTCATTTTATATATATAGTGAACCTTCTAAATTAATTCATAATTTTCTAAGGCCTCTTTTTTAATAATTGGTATAATATACTTTCTTTGCTATAAAGTAATGATTTAAAGAATCACTTATATAAATAGTTATGAAGAGAAAATGATAGTAAATTACTTTTTAAATTACTAATAGTATTTAGTTTCTACTAGTAATGACTAGTAAAAAATCTACTCAAAAAAATGTCTGATTGGTTAGTCTATTTTTTTGATCTTTCTCCGGATAGAAATATTAGTATGATCTTTTACTAGTAATGACTAGTAAAAAATCTACTCAGAAATATCTTATTGTTGAATCTATTTTTTTGATCTTTCTACAGGGTTGAATATAAGACAAATTCTTTACTGGTAATGACTAGTAAAATATCTATCGGAAAATATCCAATTGTTGAATCTATTGTTTTGATCTTTCTACAGGGTTGAATATAAGACAAATTCTTTACTGGTAATGACTAGTAAAATATCTATCGGAAAATATCCAATTGTTGAATCTATTGTTTTGATCTTTCTACAGGGTTGAATATAAGA